TCGTTTTATTGATATTTATCATTTACATGGGATTGTAAGCTATAACACTTACTTATTCAAGTATAAAATATATCCTTTTTCTACTTATCACTTACGACTTATCTCTTCCTTGTGAGCCGCTTTCCGACAGCGTATTCATATTCAGATTCTGATTCGCTCATTTTTCAATATATATTTTACTAAAATATAATGTAAAACAAAATATAATAATAATAATAATAATAATAATAATAATAATAATAATATTCTAAACATTAGAATTGCAATAAAAATTTTGATTATTTTTGTATTTTTGTAATTTTCTTGCCAAGACAACGTTCTAAATTGTGATTTTTTACATTTAAAAAAATTGATTTTTTTTGGCCGGCCTTTTTCCAAAAAATTGTACATTAAGAGGTTAATAGGCGACAAAAGCGTGAGCCACCAAACAGGGAGTCAATCGATCGGAACATCTGGTCGCCAAGATATCGAAGGAATACGGTTGCCTACCCAAAAGTTTCGTATGCTACGGATACCGTACTTGTAGCTCGTCCCGTGCTGCTCGTTCAATCTCTCCAATTCCGTCGAAGGAAGCTTATCCGCGCCGTATACCAATCTTGTCCAACTGGAATCAGGGTATCCTCGCGGATCGCTGGTAACACGGTATGCCGGTAGCAACGCGATTCCCACTTCCGGGGCCTGACCGGATCTCCAGAAGTCGTCGAACCATCGGCGAGTGATTCCGGTCCATTTCCTATCGATACACCGCACATGAATCATTGTACGTTTCTTCAAAACTTCCGCGCGATCTTAACCAGCAACGATAGAAGAAACCAGCTTGCACAGTACCCAGACCAGTAGTCTTTTACCAGAAGAGAATGCTCTTAGTTTTATGATTGAAAGTTCACAGCTTTTCTTAAACTAGTTACCTAGCTAAAGCGTCACGTATTTATTTATTTATTTATCGAAAATATTCGAGAGGTTATCCATTAGTTATAAAATCACAAAAAAGATACAAGAAAATACAGAGGTTAGCTGTAATAAGATAACGTCAACTCCTCAGATTGATACGATGACTCTCTACGGTTATAATAACGTTGCGATATTAATTAATACGCCTTAAATTCTGTGTGAAAGAATGTAGTGGGTGATTGAAAAAATCGATAAAAGAGGGCACTCTATTTGCAATAGAGAAAACACGATTGAGCCGAGTATGATATCCATAAGTTGTTCTATGGAGAAATAATTATGTAGAAATTATTGTTAATATGGAGAAATTTGGGGAATTTTTGGATCTGAGATGAAATATTAGAGCATTTAGGAGCATGTAGCATTCTTCAATAATGCTGGAGAAGCAAGCAGTTCGTCAAGCACTGCACAAGTGTGGTTTAAAAAAAAGTTGAAGACGCGAAGCATAGAGTTGTAGTCGTGATCGTATCGTGTTACATAGGGTCTAATGTTACGCAAATGCATTGCGGATCATAGGTAGTTAATATTTACCGTAGAAATCGACAAGATCTTACCTCCGAACGATCGAGCGTGGGAATACAACGCTGTAAAAGTCCGGATACTCACAGTACTTTGTCGACGGGTGTTTCTCCGAGCAGATAAGGAAGCAACAGTCCTGCGCTCCCGTCGCCAGTGGTGTCCGGCGAGAATTCGTTCGCATAAACATGCACCTCGAACCGCGGGAACGCGTCCTTCACCGCAACCGCGCTCGTTACGCCAATTATTCCGGCGCCCACCACCGCCACCCTCATCTTCGTCGAGACACGCTTCCTTTCCGAATCTATCGAATTAATCCGCGAACGGGTAGCAAACTCGCTGGAAACTGGAAGTCCGAGTGCGACGTTCCATTGCACTGATTACAGAAACGTAAACGACAACTTTTGCCCCGGTGAACGATAACCTTCCCGCTGGGTCCCGCGTCCCGCGAGAGATCGCCCAAGTCAGCGCGATAAAACAATTTCCGTATTTAACGAGCGTACGCGAGAGCTCGCGATGCACGGTAATCGCGGCGAGGCGCGCAACTGCTGCTTGAAATTGACATCTTTCGAACGCGGATGCAAACATCGTGCGGAATTCTGGCGGGAATCGACCGGGAACCAGAAACGGTTCCTCTCCTTAAACGAGGCCTGCGTCGGCGATCGAAGCATCGGATAAACTCGCAATTTCCCATATTTCTAGCATAATGCCCGCATATCTCTCGGCAGTATTATGCTAAAATATATGGGAACCGCGAGAGTCACGGGGGAGAGAGAGAGGGGGAGAAGTCCGTTCGTCGATCGTCCAAACAAGTAAAACGATGCTCGTCCCGCGCCGCGCTGACGATAAACGGAGCATAATACTTTAACTCTCGTGTACCAAAGGTTTTATACTCTGCTTACCGAAGGCGCGACGCACGATTCAAATTCCACGTGACTGCCAACGATCCTCCCGAAGAATAGATCCCTCCATGAGAGACTCGTCTGCTCCGGCGGCGTCGAAATCACCAAATAAATAAATCGTTGAATAAAAGGTGCAACTCTAGAAAGATTAACTCGAGAAAAGTGCCGAGTCGATTACGATGGTCGAAAACCGTTTTGTTGTTATTGTCCACGAAAAAGCAGAAAATTACAGAGTCACGTTTGAACCGATCGAACGTACCTAATGCTGAGATTTCCATTACAGGACGAAAAGTCAGTCGGTTATTGGCAATCTGTGCTTATCGTTAGTGGAGAATTCAGCGGCGCGGAGACCTCGTGGTCGCCACCGAAGTATCGTAAGAGCGTGACACGAGCAAACTGGTAACGAGTTCAAATAATAAATAGTTTATTTATATTTCGCGTGGATTGCAACGACACTGTACGCGAACCGATCGTGGTCGGCGATCGACGAGCGATTAACCGATCGAACGACGAAGCCGCGTAGAAAAAACGACCGACAGAAGGGAGGTTTCCGATGCGGCCGGCGTGGCGGCCGCGGCCGTTTATACGCGAACGCGCGATCCACGGACTGATCCATAAGCCCTGATCCCTCCCTGATCGCTCCCCGAACGTTGTTCACCGAAATGGCTGATGACAGTTCACGATACCAAGTGATTATTGACAACGCACACGAGCGAGTCAGACATAATATAGCCCGGGCCCCGGAAGTGATGCGATAAAGGGTGTAAGTGACAGCATAAACAAGCTGCGATCGCCGCGGAGCTCAGCGTTCCTTCCGAGGAATGCTTAGATAAGAGATCGGTTCCTTTTTCATCAAGATGGATTTTTATCATCGTAAATCATGGATCGGCGCTTTCGAGAGCGTTTTGATAACCGGCCCGAAAAGCTTGAAGCTACTAAACTTTTAAGACGGTTAATTAATGTAACGATTCCTTTTTCGTAGATGTAGAATTTTCAAGGAAAAGTCCACGAGAAAAATCATACCGATCAATCATGATGCTTTAAAAAAACATACCGACACCCATTATTTTACCGGTTCGTTGCCTCGACGAAGCGTTTTGCGTCGAGCATTTCTTTCAAATTAAGTAAGATGATAATAGCGTTATCGCAATCACACCGGATCGCCTCTTGGGATCACTATCAGGGTGGTCGGCGATTATTCAGAAGCGCGATCACGTTTCACGGTTTCGGATAGCGAACACCGAAGACACCTCGGTGTACGTTATTCAAGAGCATTATCGAAACGATGATGTTGACGTTACGTCGGGCATTCTTTTCGAGAAAAAATACATTTGAAAATTGACCGGCTACGATACCGTAATAGCAATAGATCGCATTCGAAGGAATTACATTTGCCTGGAACCCTTTTTCCTCCTTTTTTTCTATCCCCTATAAACTATGCTATAGGCTATAGCTTCAAGGTTTCTGAATGAAATCGAGAAAATAACAGAATTTAACCCTTTTAGTGCCGGAGGCCGATATATCGACTCTTGCAGCACTGGCGAGAAGTGCCGGAGCCGATATATCGGCCCGCGTCTTATAGCGCTTTATAATAACAAAATTTTACACATTTACAATATATAAATATAAATATTTATGTTATTATAATGAAGTATTATGCAAAATTATATCACAAATATATTTATGACAACATAATTTTGTTTCAGCAATGTTATATTACCTATAACAATTACATATTTCGGAAGAGATAATCCGTCCGGCGCTTACCATGTACCTTCGAGTTATTTTTTGTTTGTTATATAGTATTATTTATCTTGTTACAAAATATATCAGAAATGCAAAGTATATACTTTGTAATAAATGATCTATATAAAATTATGATGAAAAGATGACTTTTTGTATGTGCAAATACGTTTTGTAAGAGAGAACTGGACTTTTACTTTCTTTATGGTCTTTTATACCTTTGTTATTTATATAATTTTCAATGAATATAGAAAATCTAGTGTCACTATTTTGTTCTCTATTTCGTCCTTAATTTACTGTTTTTTGAATCATGTAAATATTGTTTCTTGTTTGGTTTTTATGAGCATTTTCCCAAACCCTAGTAAAAC